CATCTATATTAATAAGTCTTTATCATCTCCCAGCAATGTCTGCCAGCACACACCAGCCACGGAACAACTCACCCTCCCCAGTAACCCCGCGGCCCCCTGCACAGGGACCGGCTGAGCTGCAGTGAGCCAGCGCCTCACACCCTTACCGCTGAAGCAATTAAGAGTTTAACCTGGATGCAGCCCGGGGACTCCAGAGAGAGAGAGAGAGCAGTCAAATAGAGAGGCCGAAAGGGAAGGAGGCAGAGAAAAGTCAGGTGAGGAAATGTGTGGAGACAGAAAAAGGAGGATGATGCAGGAAGGGTAAGAGCGGATGGGACAGAGCAGGGAAAAGGAGGGCAGGAAACACGCCTGAGTACATAAATAGACGGACGAAAGGCAGAGAGGGAGAGAGTGAATCTCAGCACAGTGTACACAATCCTCTCCTCCATGAGAAGAAGGTCACCGGCTCTCTCTGAGGACTCCCTTAAATAAAGTCCCCTAACCTGCACTTCTCTGGGCAAACAACCTCCTCTGCTCTTTATTAACTAAATATAAAGGGACTTTGACCGGGGGACAAAAATTCAATATTTTTTCCCCCACCAAATATTTAAACCAAGCAAATAAACAGACAAATAAATAGATCTCCTCTGCCAGGGGAGAGCGGGCCAGTCGGTCCCCTGGATGTAATTTGACGGCCCACTTACTTGGAGGGCCAGAGCCCAGTGCTACTCAGACACTCATTTGAAGAGCTGTCAATCAAGTGGCAGCAGAGTTGGCGTTGGGGATATGTATATATGTGTGTGTGTGTGTGTGTGTTTGGGAGGACTGGCCAGTAAATCATCCTCAAGGTTGGAGCAGATAAGGTGAGCGTCTCTTCAGATGAATACATCACACGTTCCTGCTCTCCATTCTACCCATTTAAAGCGATCCCTCCACCCTGCTCGTATCCATCCCTCACCACTTCTACCTCGACCATCAAACCAACTAATACTCACCATTTTGTCTGGTCTGTCTCCCTGGGATGCATTAAACATGGCGGCGGTGCGGAAGCGGAGAGATGCAGCTGTTTGCGTCCTTCTAATCCCGGGCAAATGGTTACGATTTAAGCTGCTGTTTGAGGGCCCGTGAGCTAAATCTAATGTTTGAACCATTTCTCTGTTTACCCTTTTGAAATATCCTCTACTGGTATTTTTATCAACACTTTTCTTTAAGTCGTTTTGATCTTTAGACATTGGGCCGTGTTGGATCTAGATACGTCTTTGGTCGATCTTCTATTGTTACATGCAATATATCATATTGAGCGTAGATATTGACATGTCCATTATCTCCTTGAAGGGAAATGCAGTTTTGTGCTTCCAAGCAAAATAAGAAAAGCGACAGCTTAAGTCTGGCTGAAGCAGTGATGTTCATCGAGTTGACATTGGTGGTATTTAACCACAGTTTCTTTGCTTAATCAGGCAGTTTTACTTACGTAAAAGTACCTGTACTGCTCTTTTTTCTCTTTGTTGCTACCGGTTAATCTCGTGTGCTGTTGTTCTGCAAGTAATGAATTATGCTAGCCTAAACCCCCCCCCCCTCTTCTGGGTAAAGAGTGGTGCTGGTGGTTTCAGGGGAGCAATATAAAAAAATCCTTTCATCCATTTTAGATGAGATGCAGATGACTCAATTATACTTGGCTGGACATCAAGACCACTTGGTGAATGAGCTGCTAACGCTGGAAAACGACCCATTTAATCCCACTGATGTGAACGGCAGGGCGCTAACAGGTCTTGCAACAGTAAGAGATCGAGACAGGTATGAGCGAGGATGCACCAGCGGCACCAGGGGAGAAACGGCGCTCGCTGTACGTGATGAGGGATTGGAGGTTAGAGAAGCACTGCAATGTGCTATCGCCGGTATTTTAGTGTCAAAAAAATTGATACACATAACTGACTTTATGCTACTAAAATGAAATGGTAATAAATTCAATGCTTTAAAAAAAAGGCCTGTTCAGATGCCGGTCAAATTACAACAGACAAATTGGCAGTTTTGCCTAATAAAAAGCCACATGAATCCTCTCCTCACAGCAATAACAACGATAGTCGATCTGTTTAATTAAAATTATGCTAGGACGAAAAGGAGAGGAAGCTCCCTTTTGCGAGATCGAACATTTTTACCAGAAGTGAACCAAAAATGGGTCAGCCACTTCAGATTGTAAATAAATGAGGGAGAGATTAGAAAAAAAACGTCCCGCAGGACTGACGATATCGGGGCCGCTGGTCACTGGAGCCAGGGCCACAGCGACGACCCACAAACATGCTCCACATTTGATCAGACAGCTGTTTGATGTGCAAGGCCTCGCTCCCGCGAGAGCTCCTCTCCTCTGAAACCACACACAAAGACGCACAGCACTCATCACGCCGTAGCCTCTCCTCATCAAGGCGGCTCAGCTGCCAGGCTTCCTGACAGCATCAGCATCGAGACTTCCCCGTCACTCCCCTTTCACTCTTAATACGTGGTGAACGGGGGGGCCGTGAGCGCGTCGCTGGTGATCAGCCGGCTAACGGAGGGGACGGTGGGTTTGCAGGAAGAGAGACTCTTTGGGTTTTAGAAATCGGCTCAAAAGCTCCAGTGACGTCATTGTATCTTGAGCTTACAAAACTTGTATTTCAATTACGACACCCGTTCGTGAAAATCCCGTCACGGATAAATCGTTGACGGTGGTAATGAAAAATGATTTCGAGAGGAGGAAAACATGAGAAAGAAAATCAAAATCTAGCTTTTCAATTGTTCACAGCCGTCTTGGCAGTGTGACCTTAAGTGTCAACGAAGTCCCTCACTGCTGCCTTTTATTTACACTGACATGAACCCCCTGCGGTCTGACTTTTTTACGACCTTTAGTGCAATTAACAGTTGCAAAACATTAGGGCTGGTGTTGCTTCGCATGTAGTCAATCAAGCCGGTGTTTTGCGGGTGCCGAGTGCTGTTTGTCTGTGTTGGTGACAAATGAGTGTGGCCCGTCCCACTGCTGACAGCCGCCCCAGAGCGCCGATGCTATCTCCAGCTCTTCGGCCTGCTTCTACAATTACTACCGGCCTCTGGCCCCCGGGGCCGCCAACACTAGCCTGCACTTTGTAACCTGGGACAAACACGCTCACACATTTCATATAAACTACATCTGTTTATTCACTTGTACAAACACATTGTACATGTATTCTTTCTAGTAGTCAGAAGTGCGTACAAGTTAAGCAATCTTAATTTATAACATCATCTAACGTTAGGGGTGAGGTCAGATTTCCATCCCTCTAAACATAAAAATAAAATTTAGTTGACATTGTGTTTCTTGATCCTTCTATTTGGATTCAGATCCATTTCCTGATTTCATTAAAGTGCACTACAATCAACTCGGGCCTTTTAAAAGCCCCACACCGAAACATTTGACTTGGATATGACCCCCAACCGATACCTTTCCCCACCACACACCTGGTTATTTTATCTCTCCCCGCACCCATTGTTGGCCTAATTTAGGGCGGCTCGGCTGGTTGGCTGGCGGCTGACCCCGGTCAGAACAATGCATACCTGTGGCTCTCACCAGCGCTGTGTAATTGTCTCTTCAAGTGGGGGCCCTTTTCCAGTGTGCCCCCGAGGGGAGAGCCCTCCACGCTCATCCATCACTCAGTCACTCAGCCACTACAGGAAGTGGTTAACATGGGTGACCTCTGGGATGGCGGTCCACTGTTGGATGGGGAGGGAGGGGGGGGGCGTGCAGTCGAGGTTGCGGAGACACATACAGAACATTAGCCATCCCATCAACACCGACGGTGACGTCACTCAATCAGTCCATCCATCGGTCAACGCTGTTTGGTCTGCTGGTCCAGTCGGTTCCCTTTTGAAGTTGAGAGAAGACAGAAAGCAGACGTGTCGTTATTTAAGTTTTGTCTTTTTAATGTCCACAGTTCGGGCAACAGTGTTTCTGCTTCCATTACATTTAAATGAGGGTGCAGCCATAACTGTAGTTGGCACATCAATGCTTTCACGCCAACATACTCACAACCACGTGATTCATGTCATGTGGGATACAACACAGATCGAATGTCAATTAGCTTTCTGAAGTATTTACCAAAATATTGGACTAATTGATGTGATGATGGTGCTGAATGTGACTGTCACCTGTTTTAGGTTTGCGTGCCAACAGTCTTCTGGCAATCCGAGGTGGGCGCGGCTGTGGTTCATCAGTAAAAGGGCATCTGGGCTCAGCATTACACTGCCAACATGCCGATGTTTTTAAAAGGCCCTTTGCTCCGCCTCTTCCCAGAAAAACCTGCGTGGCTCTCGGTTGACATCATAATTTATAATTAAGTTTTGTATTGTTAATTTAAAAGTTATGGAACATACCAGTTATAGCAATTCAACCTTTTCCGGGACACAAACTTAATTGTGTATAAAACCATGATAATAAACCATTAGTGTTTGGAGCTAATCTTAGTTACACATCTAGAGAAATTTCTCAAACTTTGCCCTGCTGGTGGTGCAAGCAGAAACGCCTGGTTAATCCTCAAGGAACCATGCATGCTAACAAGAAGCCCTAAATAATTGAAAAAAAGATGAACGCAATACAGCAATTTTAAGCGGTTTCAAATGGATGGTTGACATTTCTATATAAAAGTTCAGAACACATGTGACTGACTGACAGTTCAAATTGTCTTGGTTCAGTGAACCCGACCCTTCTTGCGCTCAAAGCAACTTCATTCAAATGTTGGATTATTTTTAGGCCTTTTTAGCATGAAAGCAGTATTTGTCTTAATCTTGAGGGCTACAGAGAGTACAGGCTGGGAACTCAGCTGAGAGGGAGAGCAATGAAACAGATCCCTGCCTGGCTTGTCTAGGTTTAATGTCGGTTCAAAAATATTAGAAAATAAAACCCATCAACGTCCAAACTGAAACATGCATGTCAGAAGAAACCTTTTGTACCTGTGTGTTATCCACGAGGAATTAAAAAAATAATAGCGGACAAAAGCACCGAATTAAAAGAGGGACGCGGGTTATTGGATAAAACATTTTCTCTTTTATTTACTGCCATTCCTACAGACAAGCTGTGGCACAGAGAGCACTGAGTGATTTGAACAAGTCAGCGCTACTTCCCATCTACAAACGAATCTCCGACAACAACAAACGAGGAAGGCGCAGCAAAGGAAGAAGCAGGAAGAACGGCGTTTGGCAACCATTAACGTCTTGGAAAACTTCAGAAGTGTAAAAAACAAAAAAGGAGTGCATTTTGAAAAGTAAAAAGCACCTCTACTTCATCGTGAACTAGATAGAGAGAAGGAATCAAGTAGCGCTGCTCTGACGTCAGCCCCCCCTTTTCCGCCCTTTTTTTTAGCTGTTTTTCAAAGTGGATTTTGTCAGAAGCGCCGGATCTTTCTCTCGCTCACTCGGATGGCCTGCAGCATTACAGGGGAATGTGGTGCTCTACACACTTTTAAGAGTAATTAAAAGCGACTGAACAGCTGTAATTATGAGAAACGGCGGTTGTGTTGCGGGTCATTCTGTCGGTGTTGCCTTTCATCAGAGCGGAGGAGCAGGGGCCCCCGCTGCTAGCCTCCGTCTCTCTATGCAAATCTTCCAAGAACACACAACTGGCAGGCTGCCTACCGGCTCTCACACGCGCTATCGCGCTCATACACTCCGTCGCCGACGCGCATGTGGCAGAGGAAGCGCGCACAAACGCACAGGCCGACAACCGATCACATGTATGGTCACGTGGCTCAACAGCCATTCATGACATAAGCTTCTTATCATTGTCTTTCCTTGGTCACGTCGGTCTCATTCCATTTCTGAAGACAACATGAGGGGGTTACAATATACAAGTGAAGAATATATATACTATGTGAGCAAAGTGAGTTTTTCTTTTAATGAACTATTCGATATTGTTCTATAACACTGTGACAAATATAAAGCATTTATGTTTGAACTGCATCGTGAATACTGAGAAATGATGGATAAACGCATTCCTTGGTTATATGAGATTAAGTAACAGAATACACTGAAATAATACATAGTTACACAATGTATGGTACCACTCAAACGCCGTTTCCAATTGTGTTTGCTTTGACCGTGGTGACACTGTGGGCTCGATTCTAAGCTTGCGTTGTTGGCATGTTACTGAAGCGCCATTCTGGTTCTATTGTGGTGGCCTTTGTTTCCTTTCAGGCGGAGGTGGCCGACACATGCCGGGGTCAGTGGAGTAAGGGAAGGGGTGGATGTGGGGTGTAGATGAACCAATCAAAACAAAATCAATCTTGGTGGGATCCTTCTTCATCAATCCATCCTTCACATCCTGTTAAAAGAAGACAAAAAAACCATGTTTTTGTCTTTGCATTAGGGTGGTGCCAACAAAAGTGGTTGAAATGCCGTAACGGGGCCCAGCTCACACAGCGTTTCATGATTGATCAAGAGGCCGACATTGTCATTTCTGTAAGTGCAATGTATGAACACGTCTCCTATTGGAGTGACAGACTTGAGCAGCTCCCGGTGCTGAAAAAAGTCATTATGTCTCCTTTTGCATCATGCACCGTCTGTAAATAATTACACCATCTTCCATGTGTCTTTTTTTAAATTGACGTGAAAATAAAGTTAGAAATAAAAAAATAAAACGATCATTAAATCAGAGTAATAAGTACGAGTTGTCAGATTTCCACACTTGTCAGTCCCACCTCCAGAGCAGCGACTCCACTCTGTTGATGATGTCGGCCAGATCAAAGGGCAGCGGCATGTGGGGGTCATCCGCACCCCAGAAGGGCCAGTCCACCGGGGCCTCCTCGGGGGGCAACGTCCGCGCCAGACTCGAGTGGCACCTGAGGCGACGGGACAGAGGAAACAAGCGCACCCATTAACTCCTCCCACCCATCAAAAGCCACTGGTAGACACTCACCAGGGCGCACGTCTCAAGTTGCTCGCTAAACTTTCTACTGGTGATTTTCTTTTCTTTTGTTTTTGTCTTCGTTCCTAGTAACATCAGGAACACACGTAGGAACGTATTCTCAAATCATCAAGGTTTCTTCAGCGTTCTCTAATCGCGACTTGATTTACTCTAAAGGTCGTAGCCTAAGTTGACAACGGAGGGATTCCAGTAGGCAAAGATAAACAGGAATCTTTCTCTCTGGATCTTCTGTATTGACTGATGGGGTCTTTCAAGGGGTCAACCTCAGAAATGTCAAGTTGTTAAGTCAATGAAATGTGTGTGTGTGTGTGTGTGTGTTAACTCCTCCCTAAACACACAGTGGATAATGTGTGTTTGACCAGGAAGCAGTCGGCTTGTGTGTGTTTCCTCTTCGTTTTATGGCCGCTAATAATAACGGCCTCAATTAGAACCTGCAGGATATGAGAGGGTAAGTGTGTGTGTGTGTGTGTGTGTGTGTGTGTGTGAGATCGGTGAGCACAAAGGAGGCTGGAATTTTTGATAAGAGTCTTTATGTTGTTTATTTCGAATGATATTTAAACTACTAATTTCTATGCAACTTGCACCTTTTATTTTGGCATTTCAGTTTTAAATCCGTCAAGCCGGCGGGTTAAATGGAGCTGAGCAACAGGGAAACACTGATGCGAGTGAAAGTTTCTAAAGCCATAAATCTTTAGCACGACTATGCAGCTGGATGAGAAACATGTTGTTGCGACATGAGTGTATTTGACTAATGCTAATTTCAGAAGAATCGCTGTGAGATATCCAGCGCTATTTTCATACGATTAATAATTTGGGGTTAGTTGTGATTTCTACGGTCCTTGAAAGCCCCACAGACTTCCACCACATCTTTTGTCAGACCAGTGTAAATATTTACTGTGGCGAATTGGTGTTGCTCTCCGCTGTCATTGTAAATCTGCCCTCCCTCTGCCTCTTGACAGATGAGAGTGACCTCTGACCTGGAGGTGAAAGAGGGAGAGGAGGAGGATGGCATTTGTGCGTGTAGTGTGTGTAGTACGTGTGTGCTTGTGAGCGGTGGCCTAAGATTTCCTTCTAGAGTCATGAGGCCATTTCTACTCCCCACTCAGTCATGATACCAGGTTCTGTCATATCATATTCCACTCACACAAAAAAAAAAAACTCCACACACACACACACACAAGACCACCACCACCTTGTGGCCGGTGACTGAAGGAGGGGATGGGGAGGACACACGGAGCCGAAGAGGATATGATGGCCGGTTATGGATGGATGAGGGGATGTTAAAGTTGTCAGGGGACAGCCGGGGGCTGCCACAATTTGTGGTTATATATTTTCACCGGAGCCACTTAATGTTCGACTGGCTCTCGGCCTAAGTGCAGCATTTTGGTGCGGTTAGCCCTTTAAAGAGCTGCCGCATTACAGTGGTGAGGAGCGGCATTAACATCCACTGTTCCAATATATCTTCTGCGCTCTGGATCAGGGCCTGATAATAGCATCTGTTAACATGCACTAAGTACCATTATGTAGCACATCACTTCATAAATAATACGATTAGGCGACCTTGGGGCTTTGCGACGAGCCGTGTGTTTAAATGTTCTCATAATTTATTTAGGGTGCGAATTAAAGGAAGCGCCACTTCAAAAGAGGAGGAGGAGGAGGAGGAGGAGGAGGACATGGCTGGCATACATATCTACAGAGTGAAGGGGAGAGAGTGAAAAACTGACCCAGACAACACCCAGTCGCACTCTGTGGTGCTGCTGACATCAGCTTGAGGACGCCACAGGCCTCGGGATCCCGGACCTTTTGATTTGGTCTGATTAAGCATTCATGGAGCGGAGCCATGAGCGGAAACACTCTCCTCTCGTCGGCTGCCCTGACTCGTTCTGAAAGGCTACATGCCGTGAAAAAACCCCGAGCAGCCGTCCTTCAACAGATCTGCCTGCAATTATCTGACAAAGGGATCTCGCGACATTAACAAGGAAATGGAAGGCTCCCGGGTTACCGAAGATATGATGAAAGATATCAGGACTGGAAGACTATCAAAGATAATACAGTGTAGGTAATTCAGCACACACTTTTACACGGTGCACAGAGTGACGTCCCTCGACTGCTAAAATGGAACCAAACAAAAAGTCAATACCAAGCGAGGTGCCTTAAGCTCTCCTGGGCTCTCGCTAGAAATTCAGTGGAAGCCACAGTGGCGTACAAACGAGACTTTTCCCATGGCAGAGCGGCCCACCTTTAAAGTTAAGGTCAAAGACAAAGGGTTTTTTTTTGGAGGGAAGGAGGTGTGTGGGGTTGGGGGGTGTGTGTGTCAGGAGGCAGCGAATGTGTTTGTGAGTCCGGGCTGTTCCAATGGATTAACCCCAGACAGATATGGGCCTAACTATCCCATCTGGCGCTCGGTCAGGGGAGATTGGCAACGCAATCACTCATTTCAATTTGCCCTGAAACCTTAGAGCCTGGCAGGCCCCCACTCAGATGCTATGCTAATGTGAAAGGTATCTAGGATTCTATCGCCTCTATTCCACAGAGGCCGCTCCCTCCACGCGGCGCGCTGCACTTGAACTGCGGCTCCGTGGCCCCTCGCTGCACTACGGTCCGGAGCCCCCCCTTTGCGCTCAAACTAACCACTTTAGCTAAAGTGAGTGTTAATTATGGACAGGCAAAGCAGTCAATAAAAGGTTAATGCAAAAGTCAAAGGATAAATTCCTTTAAGCATTGCATCATTCCACCATCTCCGCGACCAACACACTGCTCGCAGGTCTCCTAATCAATACGTTTTACTGTAATGCGCTCCCCATCGATTTCCGCCCCCCCCCCTCTCCCCGCTCGACGGTTCCAGGGCCCATCACTTGGTTAAAGGAGGGGAAGAGGAAAGTGAGGGAGTGAATAAAATGATTAACCTCGGTTTCACTTTGTTGTTTCACTCTTAGTCTCCCTCTGGAAGGCTTGTAAGAAGAGTGCAGGGCGGTCCGGTGTCATCAGCGCCATGGCGACCGTCACAATCATCAGCATCAGCAGCATAGTCGGCCCGCTCAATCTCGGGCCGGTGTGTAATTGTGTAGCAGTTCGCTCAGGCGGGGCCATACATTAAAAGCCCCTCTGCTCTTAACAGGATGGAAATCCGCCTAATAGACAACATCAGTGCTTTCAACTCTTGCAATTACACTGATAAATGCACAATTGTGTCAAGCCAAGTGAAAAAGAACCCGGAGAACATAGATAGGAGACAACGCTTATTGCATTATTGCTACAGGGGGTCATTTGTAACCACGTGGGATTAGACGGCTTGCCCTGCTTGACTCTGGACCTCATTTTTAGGAAAAGGGTGGAGTCCCGCCACGCTAATGGAAAGCCTTTGCGAAAGAACATACAGAGGATCAGATACCCTCTCTAAACTTCATGTTTTATGTAAGCGCTATGAGAGTTTTTCTATGAAATATCCCAATAGCACCTTATCACAAAGATAAAAACAGATACAAGAGTAGTTAGACGTGGCTCTTGTTTGAATGGGCATTGCAACATCTCCAAAACATGTGCCAGGCTAAACAGGACAAAACAATAAAGCCTGTGTTAAAGTGAAACGGCACAGAACATCAATCAATCATCCTTGTTTATGTAGAGCTATAGTATCCGTCTACCTCAGGTCACCTGCCTCCCCATGCTCGGCCCTCGCTCCATCTAACTCTGAAGCAAACTCGTGCAGGTGTGCAGTTTTATGGTCTTGGCAACCCGAGTGCCCGATAGCTGAGAATGCAATCAAACAAGTCATGAAAAAACAGGCATGTGTCTCATAAATCAGCCGTTCCCTGAAAAGGTAAGGCATGCAGTCATGTTGCAAGAGGGAAGAAAAAACAAAAAAGCACACTTATCCATGTAGGTTTTTGTGTCTGTGCAGTGTTGAGTGAGAAGTGAGTGATTGAGCACATCTGTCTTTGTATATCATGCAGATATATATATGGGTAAGAGTGAGACAGGCAGATAGCATTTATCGACCTACTTATCTTCCAACTGTCTTGTGCAAGATATTAGTGATGTCATGCAGAGGGCATGCATGTTGCCGGGAGACATTAAGAACAAGCCCCGACCTGTGACGCGTCGAGCTTCGGATCTCAACCCACACCACCCAGGACTCTCAAAGGTCCTGTGAACTCTCAGGGTTGTCCTCATTAGAGCCCGAACAGAACCTCAGATCCCCACCCACCATCCCAAACTCCCATTATCCCAATCACTGCCATATTCAGCGTTAAACGTAAAGTGGTGCAGAATGTGAGCCAGCCAGCCAGCCAGCCAGAAAGCGTGGGCAGCGCCGCGTCTTAGCCGTTTCCTCAGGATCAATTAAATGCTATTGTGTCTGCAGACAGCTGCTGACTGTGCACTTTGCGAGTACGTGAGGTGGGCAATTGTGGAGAGCGAAACAGAGAGAAGGGTGGGGGGGGGCGTCATCAAATGCATGACATATGTTCCTTTCATTTTGATTCTCTCAAAGGAGCCTAATAAAACTAACATCTGATGCACTCCTTTTCCCTTTAATTAATGGTCTTGGAAACCACACAAAAATGCATTAGCAGGCCGTGAGGAGGAGGAGGAGGGGGGTGTTTCTGCAAGGAGGTTGGGTGCCGCGTCAAGCTTCCAACACTCGGCACCACGTGCCGCAACGGCCACAGCGCTGATGGGAACAATAATTCTCCCGAGGAGCGTGGGTGCCGTTGGGTGGGCCTGTGAGGAGTCCCTCTTGCCAGCTGCAGTCTAGGCTGCACATTAAACCACATGAAACAAATAAGTACTTAATGGCATATCCGGGGCCAATTGGAATGCGGGGCCCTGAGTTTGCACCGAGGGCATGTGACTTACAAAAGCGCCGGTTGAGTCAACAACAGAAACGGAGAAGGTGCGTCGTACCTGCAAAGT